ACAGTGAGACTCCGTCTCAAAAAAAAGACTATACAGGTGGGGTAACTGGGCGACTGGCTGGGTGAGCCAAGAGGGGCAGGAAGAGAATGAGCCCAAGGCCAAGCATTGTTAATTATTCATTCAATGCCAAGCGAGTGGAGCAGGAAAAGAATCAGCCCAATGTTCTCCAGGAGAACATGAAGGCTGTCCCAAGACAGGCACCCAGGACGACAGGCAGATGGGGCAACCAGCCATGCTAGACTGGGGGGCAATACTGGGCCTGCAGCAATGTCGACAGTTCAGGGCAGCAGACATGGGGCCAGGGTCCTCCCATCTTCAGGGACAGTCACCCCTGCCCTGGCCCACCCATGGCCCCACAAACCTGTCCCTTTATATTTGTCCACAAAACAGTACTTGAGCTCATAGGCACGGAGCAGGTCATGCACTTCCTGTGGAAACAGAAGAAAAAAGACAGAGTTACTAGAGATGGAAAAGGGCAACCCAGTGCTGCCTTCATAGCTGCCACCAGCTCTGAAGGCAGGACAATTACCATCCCCCATTTTACCAATGAGGAAATTGAGGCTGAATGCAATAATTTGGCCAAGGTAATTCTGCCCATACCTGGCAGAGCTGGGATTCAGAACCTGGCTACAGACTGTGCTATTACCCAGTACAACACGCTGTTAGAGGGAATTCCTTTAGCTTATGCCTGTAATCTCAGCACTTTGGGAGGCCAAGGCAGGTAGATCACCTGAGGTCAGGGGTTCGAGACCACCCTGGCCAACATGGTGAAACCTGGTCTCTACTAAAAATACAAAAATTAGGCCGGGCGAGGTCACTCATGCCTATAATTCCAGCACTTTGGGAGGCCGGGGGGGCGTGGATCAAGAAGACAGGAGTTCAAGACCAGCCTGGCCAACACGGTGAAACCCTATCTCTAATAAAAATATAAAAATTATGCAGGTGGTTAGTGTCCTGCCTCTGCCAGCAGCGGTGCCGACTCCAGCTCCTGATCAGGAGCTATATTTTTTCTAAAATAAAAAGAAAAAAAAAGTGAAAAAAATATAAAAATTAGCCAGACATGGTGGCGCACGCCTGTAATCCCAACTACTCAGGAGGCTGAGGCAGGGGAATACCTTGAACCCAGGAGGTGGAGGTTGCAGTGAGCCGAATGGTGCCACTGCACTCCAGCCTGGGACAGAGCAAGACTCTATCTCAAATTAATTAATCAATTAATTGACAATAAAAATACAAAAATTAGCCAGGCATGGTGGCATGCACCTGTAATCCTAGCTACTAGGGAGGCTGACGTGGAAGAATTGCTTGGACCCGGGCAGTGGAGGTTGCAGTACGCCACTGCACTCCAGCCTGAGTGACAAAGGGAGACACTGCCTCAAAAGAAAAACAAGAGTATGCCTTTAGGGAAGTCATTTAACCTGTATACCTCCTTTTGTAAGATTCACTGTTTCCAACAACTGTGTAAGTGATATTAACAAAGTCATTTTGTACATGAGAAAACAGGCTAGGCCAAGTGAAGAGACCTGCTGGAGCCCTGCACTTGGGCAGCACAGTGGGGGCAGCACAGCAGCCGGATGCTGCCCACGGGTACCTGACTATAGAGCCCACATACTTAGCCCCACATTGTGTGGGTGCACGTGCCTCCCAATTTCCTCCTAATGACAAGGCTTTGCTCTTGCAAGCCAGCTCATTTAGTTTTCTTCCTTTCTTTTTTTTTTTTTTTTTTTTTACAGATAGGGTCTTTTCTGTCGCCTAGGCTAAAGTGCAGTGGCACGAACATAGCACACTGCAGCCTCAACCTCCTAGGCTCAAGCAATCCTCCCACCTCAGCCTCCTGAGTAGCTGGGACTACAAGCACACACTACCATGCCTGGCTAATTTTTTAAATTTTTTGTAGAGTAGGTGTTTCGCTATGCTACCCAGGCTAGTCTCAAACACTTGGGCTCCAGAGGGTCACTTGCCTCAGCCTCTCAAAGTGCTGGGATTAAAGGCATGAGACACCGTGCCCAGCCTCTCAAGCCAGCTTTGAAGACAAAGTGCTGGGGCCAGACACACTGTGCATCTTGAGGGAGAAACAAAATGTGTTCCCAGCTGAGACTGCAGACACTGGGAGGAACACCCAGAAAGAAACCTGACCATCCTTAATGATGCCTGCCCCGATCTGTCCCCAAATTCAGCCCCTCCCAAAATCCTGGCGTCCTACTAGCAACATGCCCACCAATGGGCAGGGAGGGCCAGTGGCAGGTGTGCTGATGGGCCAGAGAGCAGGGAATCTCAGCAGCAGGAAGCGAGAAGCTACTTCACTGCCATAGGGCAGAGCGTACAGATGCCATTTCCCTGGGTCCAAAGATCAATGGGAAACGCTGCCCCATGCTGGCCCCATGAAAAAGGCACTCCAAGCAGGAAGATTAGCCACGAGGGGCTCCACAGAACACAGGCCTCACTTCCTTCATGTAGGTCTGTCGGCTGGTGACAGGAGACCCCATTTTCCCAAATTAACCCTGAGGTTTTGGGGGCCAAGACCCAGAGACTGCTGTAACTTCCGGATTTATCTGAAGCAGTGAATACACGCGTGATATGAAGGGGCATACTCTCCGCAGTCCTGAAACTTCTAGATTTCAGGTCCCGCCACCCTGTGCTAGAATGGGTGCAGAAAAGCACCATCCAAGTAGGGGGCAAAGGTGGCCCAATGTACTAGCCCATTCACAATTCCCCAACAAGGCCAAAGCTGTCCGCCCCCTTCCATTCCCCGCCCCCTTCCATCACTTGGTGTCGCCCAAGCCTGTGGTCGCCCCTAGCAACGCCCTCCCTCACATCACAGTCATTCCCCTTTCATCACCGCCCCCCCACATCCCGCTGTTGGTCTCTCCCGATCCCGCGTGGATCGGGTGCTTGGACGCCCCGGTCAACGACCCCTGCGCACCTCAGTGTTGGTGTCGCCCAGTTCCCTCCCGCGCACGCGCACCGTGGTATTTCCCGCCACGATCCCACACCGCCCCCCCCATACCTGGTTGGTCACGTCCCCCGGGAGGCCCCGGATCAGTATCTTGCGGCGGTTACGGAACTGGCGCTCGGTGTGTTCCAGGCGTTTCCGGATCTCTTCTGGATCTAGGGGCGGCAGCTCTTCTTCGGGCGCCCGGCGCTCCGCAGCATCGCCAGCCTCGACCTCGGCCCCAGACTCCGGGCTCAGCGGGGCCCGGTGAGTAACGGACACGTCCGCCGCCATCTTGGGAAACCCGGCGCCTTCTGGGACCAGCGAGCCGGGGCGGAGCGGCATAGAGCGGCAACGAGGGCGCGCCTGGCGATTGGCTGGGAAAAGCCCCACCTCTTTCCCTCCCCCCTCAGCCCATTGGCTAAACCCCAGCCCGCTCCTCAGGAGTTCAAGCTGCGTCTGCGTGCCACAGATCCCGCCCCCTTCCGCCGCAGCGACGCCACTCAGCGGATGTGCACCTGAGTGGGAGAGCCTTGCAGCGCGGGTGGAATCAAACCACAGATTAGGGAATTTGAAGGCTTTATTGGTGGGGAATCTGAGGGTACAGCCAAGCCCCTGCCAACTTTGGTCCAAGATCCCAGAGTCACTCAACTCTGGACGGTTCTTCCCTAATTGCCTCTGTGGGCATAGACGTGAGGGGCAGAGAGGGGCTCTCCTGCCTAACATGGTACAGGCCTCTCTGTTTCCGCGCCCGGAAGACGTACATTAAGGCCACTACGACAGTCACCACGCCCAGGGTCGTAAACACCGCCAATAAGACGGGGACAAAGTGGGAGTTCCGAGCTGTGCAGAGAAAGCGCGAAGTCAATATGCGTCCCTCCGTCTCTAACACCCCCGCCTCCCGGGCCTGCCAGTCCAGCCCCGTGAACCCGTGTTAGCTCACCCTCAATGTTTATCACCACGACCAGGGTATATTTGCCCCGTGAGCTGACCGCTTGGCATTGATAAGTGCCATTATGTGTTACATTGACCAAGAATGGGATCCCCACTGGCACCTCCTGGCTGGAGCCTTCCTTCAAACACCGCAGCTGGGGAGATGGGTTGCCCCGGGCGTGGCACTGCAGGACCTGTCTCGTTTTATCTTTCCACTTCAAGTGCTGGGGACATTTGGCTCGGTCAATTTGGGGACCATCTGTGGAATCACCATGTGTGATCAGACACCCAACACACCCAAGGCACAGTGGGGCAGACGAGCATCTAATTTTTCCAGGGCAGGGGCGGAGGGATTAAAGGTCAGGGTGACCGACTCACACAGGACACGCAACTGGACGCTACTGTTCCTGTGCAAGAACTCGCCGTCCACCTCGAGAGTGGCACTGCAGAAGAAGCTGCGTCCGTCGTCATTCTCGGTAGTATTTAGCTGAAGTTGAGCTGGCTGCCCGGGGGCCGCGGCCGGAACTCCGTCCAGCGTGACGTGGACCCGAGCCCCAGCCATGCAACTCGCAATCACTGTGGACCCCTCGGGGGCACTGGGCTCGCTCAGGTTCAGAATGGGTCCTCCGAAATCTAAAGGCGGGGCATTGCCCAAGAGCTTAAGGAACAGGACCTTCCTGTGGATCTAGCCGAGCCCTCCGCCCTCCCCTTTCCTCTTGGGATATCCGGGCCACGCTTTCGGCGTCTCAAGCCTCGCTCTCTTTGTGGCCTTTGTCCAATTCCGGGCACTTGGTCCCTGCCCACGTTGCAACTACTACGGGGGCAAGTCAGGCCCCAACTTTTCAGCTAGTCTCCGCCCCCTCTGACACGCCCCCAGACTGCTGAGGCCGCGCCCCCTTTCACGCCCCCTTTCACGCCCCCTCTTACTAAAGACCGTCAAGTTCTCCCGGGCCTCAAGTCTCTCGCCCCCTAGGGTAACGTTGCAGATGATCTGTCGGGCACCCTCCTGATCTGCGCGCGCCGTGGCTGTGGCTGTGGCCGTTAACATGTCCCCGTGGTTCGTGACTGTCTCATTCAGCACCTGGTCCCCCAGCGCCAGGTGGACCTGGGCCTCTGAGGCCGGAAAAAGCCCCTCTACGGTGCAATCCACCGGACACGAGGTTTCCACCTCCAAGAACCGGGGGGCCACGAGGCGCGGTGGTGTCACCGGCAGGGCTGGGGAGAAAGGTAGGCATCAGCACAGCCCGCAGGACTGTGCCTTCCACCAGGACACCCTCATCCCCCTCAATCAAGATATTTTGCTGACTGGGTCACCCATTCTTTCCAGGACACACCCACACAGCCTTGAAAACGGCTTTCTCCAAAGATCCGATGGCTCAGGCCTCCCTTCTGGGGCCAACCTGCCCAGTAGCCCGGGGCTTTTCTTCCCAGAAGCCTGTGAGGTCCAGGGCACCCCACTCTTAGGAATCCCAAAGCCAGAGCACCCTCTACCGTGGCTCAGCTCATCACCCACCGTCTGAAGCTCCCTCTCTCACCAAAAGTTCGGAGCCGGCGGGGGGCTGAGGTGTTCACGAGCAGTCTCAGCCCTTGGAGCCGCAGGTCCAGTTCTGTGCGGCATGAGAAATGGGCTCCGTGGTCACCTCTGCTGGCCAGCACAGTGGCAGTGACCTCCGTGAGCTCCTCCACTGCGGGCTGCCGGCTCAGCTCCTCCTCCCAGCGGAGCAGCACCACCGTGAGGCTGGTCCGGGGCGACCCACCCTCCACTTGGCAGTGCAGGGTAAGGTTCTGACCCACCGGCTGCCAGGGGGGGAGGGGTGCCAGTTCCACCCGCTCCGGGAGCCCTGAGGGAGAAAGGGAGGATGGCACTTAGGGGGTCCTGCAACCCATCCCCCAGGGGTGGGGGTGGAGACAGGGCAGCCCTGCTGAGAACTTTCAGCTTTGAGTTAATAAACTTAGAGGGCTTAAAACTGGGCCAGTCGAGGTGTCTGCTATTATCATTAGTGCCGTGATTATCATTTCCTATGTTGTCAGACACCTTGCCAGGTGCTAAACAAAATTTTCTGTTCTCAAGGATGTCACAGTTAATTAAAAAACAAAATGAGGAAGGAAAGGATTAACGTTTATGACTAAGATATTAATATTAAAAGTTCCTGTTTATATATTTCCTTAGACCTTTAAGGGGTCAACCACCTTCATGCACACAACAACCTAGTGAAATCTTCTCTATTCTCTTTTTTTTCTTTTTTTTTTGAGACAGAGTCTCCCTCTGTCGCCAGGCTGGAGTGCAGTGGCACCATATCGGCCCACTGCAACCTCCACCTCCCAGGTTCAAGCGATTCTCCTGCCTCAGCCTCCCAAGTAGCCGGGACTAAAATCTTGAACCACCACGCCAAGCTAAGTTTTGTATTTTTAGTAGAGATGGGGGTTTCAGCATATTAACAAGGATGGTCTCTATTTCTTGACCTCGCGATCTGCCCTCCTCAGCCTCCCAAAGTGGTGGGATTACAGAGGTGAGCCAAAAGGCCCGGTCTTTTTTTTTTTTTTTTAGCAGAGACGGAATTTCACCTTGTTGCCCAGGCTGGTCTTGAACTCCTGAGTTCAGGTGATCCACCAATCTCGGCCTCCCAAAGTACTGAGATTACAGGTGTGAGCCACTGTGTCCAACCCTTTCTCTCTCTCTTTTTTTTTTTTTGAGACAGAGTCTCTCTCTTGTTGCCCAGGCTGGAGTACAGTGGCACGATCTCGGCTCACTGCAACCTCCGCCTCCTGGGTTCAAGCAATTCACCCACCTCAGCCTCCCAGGTAGCTGGGGTTATAGGTGCCCACCACCACTCCTGGCTAATTATGCATTTTTTTTTTTTTTTTTTTTTTTTTTTAGTAGAGTCGGAGTTTCACCATGTTGGTCAGGCTGGTCTCGAACTCCTGACCTCAGGTAATCTGCCTGCCTTAACCTCTCAAAGTGCTGGGATTACAGGCCTGAGCCACCACGCCCAGCCTATTTTTGTATTTTTAGTAGAGATGGGGTTTCACTGTGCTGGCCAGGCTGGTCTTGAACTCCTGGCCTCAAGTCATTCACCCATCTCAGCCCCCTGAAGTGCTGGGATTACAGGCGTGAGCCACTGCACCTGGCATTTTTCTCTTTTATGGATGGAGAAATATATGGCCCAGAGAGGGAAGGTGAATTGCTTAAGGACACACAATCAGTAAGTGGCAGATCCCAGGCTAGAATGTGGGTCTCCCAAACCACAGACATGCCTCCTGGATGTCATGTCTAGGGAATCCATGGGCTTCTCCTCCTAGCCTCTGGCCTGAACAGCTGGTTTGGCCTCTACCAGAGATAGTTCAGTTCTCTCCAATCAGATTCGGGCACTCAGGGCTTTCCTGGTTCACCAGCCCTGTGGCAGCCTCTGAGGATACTCTAGCACAGTTACGGGAGACTTGACCCCCAGGCTGGGTCCCCTCCCAGGTACACCTACAAAACCCTGGCCTCAGACCAGGCATGGTGGCTAATGCTTATAATCCCAGCACTTTCAAAGGCCAAGACGGGTGGATCACTTGAGGCCAGGAGTTGAAGACCAGCCTTGCCAACATGGTGAAACCCCATCTCTACTAAAAATATAAAAACTAGCCAGGCATGGTGGTATGTGCCTGTAATCCCAGCTACTCAGAGGCTGAGGCATGAGAATCGCTTGAACCCGGGAGGCGGAGGCTGCAGTGAGCTGAGATAGTGCCACTGCATTCCAGCCTGGCAACAGAGCAAGACTCTGTCTCAAAAAAAAGAAAAAAAAAATAAGGGTGGGCGAGGTGGCTGATGCCTGTAATCCCAGCACTTTGGGAGGCTGAGGTGGGTGGATCACTTGAGATCAAGAGTTTGAGACCAGGCTGGCCAACATGGTAAAACTACTCTACTAAAAACACAAAAATTAGTCGGGCGTGGTGGCACATGCCTGTAATCCCAGCTACTCAGGGGGCTAAGGCAGAAGAATCGCTTGAGCCTGGGAGGCGGAGGCTGCAGTGGGCTGAGATCGTGTCACTGCACTCCAGCCTGGGCAACAAGAGCAAGACTGCCTCAAAAATAAATAAATTAATTAAAAAGTAGGCCAAGCATGGTGGCTCATGCTTGTAATCCCAGCACTTTGGGAGGCCAAGGCGGGCAGATCACTTAAGGCCAAGAGTTCGAGACCAGACTGGGCAACATGGTAAAACCTTGTCTCTATTAAAAATACAAAAATTAGCTGGGCAGGGTGATGCACACCCATAGTCCCAGCTACTGAGCAGGCTGAGGCAGGAGAATCTCTTGAACTTGGGAGGTGGAGGTTGCAGTGAGCCAAGATCCTGCCAATGCACCCCCACCTGGGCAACACAGTGAGACTCCATCTCCAAAAATAAATAAATAAATAGCCAGGGACAGTGGCTCAGGCCTGTAATCCCAGCTACTGGAGAGACTGAAGTGGGAGGACTGCCTTAGCCCATGAGTTTGAGACCAACTTAGGCAACATGGGAGATCCTGTCTCTAAAATAAAAGTATAAAAAAGCATAAATGTAAAAACCTCCATTCACCTGCTGGCTGAGAGGGGTACCCCCTTTTTTGGCTTAAGATACAGGGTCTTGCTTTTTCGTGCAGGCTGGAGTGCAGTGGTGCAATCATACCTCACTATAGCCTCAAACTCCTGGGCTCAAGCAATCATCCCACCTTGGCCTCCCAAGTAGCTGGGACTTCAGGCATGTGCACCATGCCCAGCTAATTTTTTTTTTAATTTATTTCTGTAGGGACAGGGCGTCCCTGTGTTGCTCAGGCTGGTCTTAATTCCTGGGCTCAAGCAGTGCTCCCACCTTGGCCTCCTAAAGTGTTGAGATTATAGGCATGAGCTACTGCACCTGGCCAGCACATACTGAAAATGCTTGTTGGGATGCTGGGCAATGTGGCTTATGCCTGTAATCCCAGCACGTTGGGAGGCTGAGTTGGGTCGATCATCTGAGGTCAGAAGCTCAGGACCAGCCTGGCCAATATGGTGAAACCCCATCTCTACTAAAAATACAAATTAGCTGGGTGTGGGGGCCTGCACCTGTAGTCCCAGCTACATGGGAGGCTGAGGCAGGAGAATCACTTGAACCCGGGAGGCGGAGGTTGCAGTGAGCCAAGATCGCCCCACTGCACTCCAGTCTGGGCAACAAGAGCAAAATTCCATCTCAAAAAAAAAAAAAATACTTGTTGCGGCAGAAGTTAATTGATTTCACAACTGCTGCCTTGGCATGAGATTGAAATGTGTTTCTATGTCTCTGTGTGTCTCTCTGTCTGTTTTTTTTGTTGTTGTTTGTTTGTCTGAGATGGAGTCTTGCTCTGTTGCCCAGGTTGGAGGGCAGTGGCAGGATCTTGGCTCACTGCAACCTTTGCCTCTCGGGTTCAAGTGATTCTCTGCCTCACCCTCCCAAGTAGATGAGATTACAGGCGCCTGTCACCATGCCCGGCTAATTTTTTTGTATTTTTAGTAGAGATGGGGTTTTACCATCTTGGCCAGGCTGGTCTTGAACTCATAACCTTGTGATACACCTGTCTCAGCCTCCCAAAGTGCTGCAATTACAGGCATGAGCCACCGCACCCAGCCTTCTGTCTGTCTTTGTATCTCACACAGAAATGTCCAGGTCTGAGCTCTGGATGAGAGCCCTAGTCCATTCTTTGCACACTCAAGAGTCCCCACTCTCCTGAGCCATTGGCCTCCTGCCCGCACCACTGCCGGAGAACAGTCCCACCTCTGGACACAATGACTCACTGTAGACGGTGATGTCAGTGGAGCCTATTATCTGCAAACCATTGCAGTACCCTGAGCAGAGGATCCGGCTGTTGCCAGTCACGTTGCTGACCCAGAAGGCTGCCCAGCCTGTGCCATTGTCCACCAGCTCCTTTGATAGAGACGTCTCCAAGGTGACTTGCTTAGCGCTGGGACAATCAGTACTGCAGTTCACCAACAGGGAACCTCCAGCAGGAAGCACTGGGTTCTGGGGCTCCACCCGCAACAGGAACTCCTGCCCCTGGACACCTTCAGGAACACGAAGAAGTCCTGGTGGTTGTTTCTTTGCCCCCCAACCCAAGTACCAGCAGGTCCCACCATTTAACACCTCTTTCCTTGTGCCGAGATAGGATTCCTGCCCTCATGGTCCAGTGGGTAAGGCAGGATCCATCAGGGGCGAGGGAGAATTCAGAAGGAGGCCAGAAGAGGCTCTGATCCAGCATAGGAGGAGGTGAGTCAGGGAAGGCTTCCTGGAGGAGGGGGACCATGCCAGCCTGAAACTGAAGGCTAAGTAGGAGTTAGCAAGTGAAAGGGAAGGGTGATTCTGGCAGAGGGAACCACATACGCAAAGGGCAAATGTCTCTAGTTCAGATGGAGCAGGAAGCGTGGGATGTGTGTGTGTGTGTTGGGGGAGATGGGTGGCGCACAAGTCGCATGCTGGGGCCTGACCACCTGAAGGCTGAACTAAGGAACCAGAACTTTCTCCCGAAGATACAGGGCCAGCAGCCAGGGCGCAGTGTGGCAGGATGTGAAGAGGGTTGCTTTCTCTTCCTCCACCCTCTTCTGATCCCCAAAACCCAGCCCTCTCCAGCCCTCCCTGGCTTGACTGGCCTCACCTGGGGTCAGCAGACAGCAGACCAGCAGAGTCCAGCAGGCCCGGAGCCACGACACGGCAGGTATCATGGTGGCCATTCTGACAGAGGAAGGTGCCTTCTTGAGGTGCCAAAGGGCAGACAGGGGTGGGGTGGGAGGGAGGCGGGGCTCCCACCTCGAGAGGAAGCCCAGCGGTTAAGATTGCAGAAGTCTGGGGGCTGCACCTTGCCCAGGCCTGTGGGTGGAAGGGGATGCTATGGGGTGGAAGGGGATGCTGTGGGGTGGAAGGAGATGCTGTGGCCCAGAAGGCTAGGGTGGGGGACCCAGATGGGGCCCAGCAAAGTGGCCAGCACTGCTGAGTCGCTCCCAGGGACAGGACTGGCCTCCGTTGCACTTTTGGCCCCAGTTCAATTCACAGGAAATGCTAACTTAACTGGCTTCCTATGTTCTCAGCACTTGGGAGCCTGGGGTAGAGGGGGGATGAGACACCTCCTTCCGGTTGAACTTAGGTGGGGAGGGGAATTTGTGGTCCCCGGTGAGGAAATTAATGGGGAAACCTGCCAGCACCATTGTTTAGGAGATAAGGCGGGATTTTGAGGCAACATCAAAAAACAAAACAAACAAAAAAA